AAAACCTTTTTTTGATAGTTGGTTTTTCTTGTCTAAAGGACGCAGAGTAGTCGTACTTGCTTTCTGAGAGAAGCCTGCTTCGTTGGGAAAAAATTTCTCCGTTGACTTTTTCCCATTTTCCTGTTTCACATTTGCTATATGTCGATGAGATGAGAGGGTAGAAGGTCACAACGGCTTAACCTTATTGTACAGGTTCATGACTCCTGCTTACCTAGCTTCCATATCAAATGAAATTAGGTGATACTTTTTCAATAATCTAGAAAGTCCTTGAAAAGGAATTCCCGTGCATAGAAAGTAATTGAAGATCGTGTTTCAGATCTACAAGATTTTCGTGTCAATGGACGACGATGGCTCCGGGACGATAACTGCCGGAGAGGTAACGAGTACAATCTATACCATTCAGTACATGACCCTTCACCTACAGAAGGGAACCTCAAAGGCATGGTGTGCAATTACATGAAAATTTGCATAATTCCTCTCATCCTTGTCATAGTCACTAAGAAATGCTATCCTTTACTCGCGAACTTACGTCGTAATGACGTGGGAGCGTAGAGAAACAAACCTTCCGAACCTAGTGCTAGAATTTTTTTGTTTTCTTCCCTCATGACCTTCATCCTGCCATCGTACATTTCGCCTTCGAACTCTGATTTTTTTTTCTCCGATGAATGCTAACATTTCCTGGAGTTAGCAAGCAAAGAGGTTCACCTGTTCTGGTAATGGCTGGCTCCACCACATATATGGTTGGGGCGTACCGATATACTTAGTTGTGAGCACAGGCTGTCTGTGTCCCTAACTGAACATTCAGTTGTCCACGCTCATATTTTGGTCCTGGGCACGCCCTCTCCACCTCTGTAGACTTTATATGTAGTCTTCCACGCTGAGTGGATCGAACACTGTAAGCTTAACATCAGATGTAATGAGACGGAAAGGAGGCCCTCTTCTAAAAACGTTAACTATTCACAAGAATGCACTAATTCACAAGGAGTCATGGCGCCAAGAGTCGAACCCGCACCTCACGCTTTCCGGACGAGTGCGCTGTCCGTTACGCCACCAGGGCCCGCTTTTACCCTCTCAGCTTAACGGCTTTTATGCCGTAGTCTTACAGTACTCACACGTTCAACATGGTGAGCTGGTCAGCCTAAATTGTTAGATATCGGCAATGAACCACTAGGCCGAAGGCTTCACAAAATTTTGAAGTTGTTTTGTAGGAGTGCTGTAAGGCTACGGCATAAAAGGCGTTGAGCTGAGAGGGTAAAAGCGGCCCTGGTGGCGTAACGGATAGCGCACTCGCCCGGAAAGCGTGAGGTGCGGGTTCGACTCCCGCTGGGGTTCGACTTTTGCCCATAACTCAGCACTCTTGTGATATTTTTTGGAACGCGAACTGCGCCGTAAAACAGCAGTTATCCTACAAAACAACTGAACTATTCACTTTTTCCCTCTTCTTCAAGTGTAGCACTGAAGTTGATTTTCTGAAAGTTCGGTTGCTTGGATACTATACTGCTTGGCTACTGCTACTTGTAGTTTCAGGCTATCTTTCAGGTAGCTCAAATGTTATGCGGATATGGATGCGATGTATCGCCGAAAGTTGTTCAAGCGGTGATGCGATCGTCGGATAAAAGTGGAGACGGCGAGATCGACTTCGAGGAGTTTCTCGCTGCTGTAACTTCCAAAATCAAGGTACGCCGTAACAAGACAAATCGCAAGTGAAGCAAAACTCTCAGTGTCTACTGCACAGTGGTAAAACTGGCACAGATCAACAATAAATAGAATTTTATTTCACATGAACATAATCTTATTCTTTTCACAGTTGAACGAATGCAAAGCCGAGATATATGCGATGTTCGAGAAATTCGACCGAAATAAGGACGGACTGGTCTGTTCACATTTCTATATACATTGACCCTCACCACAAAATGAATTACGGTCTTGTTCGATGAACTGCGTGTCACGCGAGATGAGTTTGGAGCAGCGCTAAACCCGTTTTCCACCAGTTGTTGAAGCGGGTGAGCGACAACATTTGGTGGAAAACGAACGATACGAACGGGTTGATGCAGCCTTGTCGCTTGGTCGCTTCAACAACTGGTGGAAAAGTTGCAGTCGCCGTTGCAATTGCAGCGCGTTACTACGCGTCGTCGCGCATCGACGCGCGTCATCGGAACTCTGAACGCTGCCTTACACGCGTCTTCATCGGTGAACAAGACTGTATTCAAAACGGACTAGGTGAACACCCTTCTCGGTTTTGAAATTACGTTTTCAGCTTTCTGCTGAGGAACTGGTTATGGCATGGAGTGAAACACTGAAAACAAAAATAACAGTCAAAGAGGCTGCTGCGTTGATACAACAGGTAATTTTTTATGTAAACTGAAGTGAAGATAAACTGCATATAAGTTAACAAAGCCGAAACACCGGGAACGTGGAGCCAAATACCTTGATCAGCGATTCAGTGTCATAATGGACACAACAAGTCCTAGTGACAGCTTCCTTTAGTTCATTCATTGACGTTCGGGCAGTATTTTTAGCGGAACAACCGATTCGGTAGCGCCACATGAACGTTACTAACAGGGCACATCATTATTCAGGGACTTTGGTTGAGTCCGTACGACCGCCCCCTTCTTTT